AGTAGGGGAATGGCAAAAAAAAAAAAAAAAAAAAAAAATTTAAAAGAATATGTACTGGGGGCCTGCCCTGTAGCTCAAGTTCTTTAAGTGGCTGGTTCAACAAAGCAGTCAGGCTTAGGTTGCTGTGGTTCAATCCTCACAATTCAAGCCAGCCAAATCTGCCCTGAAGGCATTCGGAGCAAAAAAAAAATAGAGTATGTACTGTATTGAAGGAAGGCAAAAAAAACAACCATGGCCTTTCCCTTGGGGTGGTGACAGTGGATATAACTAGAGTTTCTCTGTATTGCTCCATTTCTGAGTAACAAATGTTTATTGAGAAGCAGAGGAACAAACTATAGGGTTCTCAGCCTCATAAATCTCTAACTTGGGTCCCTGTTTTCCTTTTCCACAGGTGACAGAAATTGGCAAAGATGTGATTGGTCTAAGGATCAGTCCTCTTCAGTTTCGCTAAGACCCCTGTGTGTGTAGGTTAGTCATAGTCTTACCCTCCTAGAATTAGTCTCTGTACCCCCGTGACACCAACCTCCACCTACAGCCATACTCGTGTATTGTGATTTGGGTCTCCTTAAGATTTAGTGTCCTAATCTTTACTTTTGTGACAAAACAGAATGTCTAGATTTCAGACCCCATGAAGACCTATACTCTTCTCAAGGTGACAACCGTGGTCATAGTCAGGCTTGCCCTTCCTGCCTAGCTCTTGCAAAGAACAAACGAAAACTCATGAAGGGTGTTTGCTTAGTAAATTCCTTCAGTATTTATTCCTCCCCTCTCCACCACCTTTGTTTCCTTTCTGCTAGAAAAGGAGCAGAACATAACAAGTAAGATACCACATCTTATTCAGCCACACCAAACTCTTCCTTATTCCCTGTTTTCCTTGGGCATTTAACTACTAAGCAGCTACCCTCTGTGTGCCCAGAAGGTGTGAGAAAAATCATTTAGTTTTCCACATTGCATACCACTTTTCATTGATTTATCTTTTACAACCATTATTGTCATATTTTGTTTCTCCTACTAAATAAAGTAAACTTCTACAAGAGCTTCTTGGCCTGATGTTTATTTCCTGTGTACTTCCAGGTTCCAGTTCACCCCATATAGCTGTGCCACCAGAGCAGATATCTTTCCCTCAATAGTGATTTTTTTAATTACCAGATACCCACTAGTGGGCTAAAAATTTCTGTGTTAAAGAGGCTAGATGTAAGGTCTGTGTCTGGCCCAGACCTACCGGGCTGTGAGAGTGGTGAGCAGCGAGTCAACAGTTCTCCCGTTCTGCTTTGGCTGCCTCCTTCCATCTGCCACTAACTATAGCCAACACTCGCTGATCATCTACCATACACGTATTCCTGTTCTAGTTATTCTACATGTAATACATACATAGATTAATTAGTGTATGGCATGAAATTTACAGTGATTAGCAGAACAGTATTTTGCTTGTGTGCTAAGAATAATTGGATAGAATGATATTCTATGCCTTTGATTTAAGAATACCATATGCTAAAAGGTGAGCAGAACTAGGCTGGGTGTGGTGGCACACACCTGTAGTCTCAGCACTCAGGAGGCTGAGGCAGGGGGATCACTGAGTTTTGAGACCAGCCAGGCTACAAAGTGAGTTCAAGGCCACTCTGAATTGCATTGCAAAACCCTGTCTCATAAAGACAAAATTTGAAAGATAAACATTTTTTAAGTTTTAAATTTCAGGTTTCCAATAAATAATATATTCACATAGCTCAGAAATCAACAGACATTAAAAACTTTACTAAAGCCATCTTACTTTTCTCCTTGCTAAGACCAAATACTCAATACCCACAGGTTAAGGGAGGAAAGGTTTATTTAGCTCAGTTTGTAGAGGTTTCAGTCCATAATCAGCTGGCTCCAAAGCAGGATGGAGTGGCAGACAGGCCACAGATGAGAAACATTCACTGTGGGACAAGATCACAAAGCAAACAGAACAAAGGGACAAGCCTCTTTCTGTTCCTAACATTGTATATGCAGGCTTCCTGCCCATAAACATGGGTATGTGAAAAACATTGACAATCTCAAGTTATAGAATTAGGGAAAGAATGACCATATATGAAATACATATTGTAAATGTAAGACAAACTCACATCGGTCAGTAAAAAGTGGAGCTGGGCTTGGTGGCACATGCCTGTAATGCTACCACTCAGAAGCCCGAGGCAGAAGAATTATAAGTTGAAAGCCAGGGCCGGGGAGATGGCTCAGTGGAATAAGTGCTTCCCTGGCGGCTCAAGGGCCTGATTTCAATCCCCGGTTCCACCAAAGAAATTAAAAAAAAAAAAATTAAAAAATTATTAAAAAAAAATAAGTTGAAAGCCAGTCTGAACTACATAATGAGTCAAGGCCAGCCTTTGAGACTGTCTCAAAAAAAAAAAAGCAAAGAACCATTTTTACTTTTGAGTCTATCTTCATTATTTGGTAATGTTTTATTTATCTGATACATGATCTGATTTTTTTTTTTTTTTTTTTTTTTTTTTTTTTTTTTTTTTGTG